TGCTTTTGAAACAAGGTAATAAAATAATCCTTGATAATGACTAAAAGTATAACCGAAAACGCTCGGAATTACAGAACATTTGTACAGTTTCTACAACACTCTGTGTCCAGAATAGGAAACACTTATTCGAACATAAGAAAAATTAAATAAAAAGCTTATTCGCAGTACCTTATCTGTCGTCTTTAATGAAACATCTATAAATGAAGAATTGCGGCCTAAATGCACAATAATTATAAATATATATATACTATTTTATATATATATATATATATATATATATATATATATGTGTGTGTGTGTGTGTGTGTGTATATATGTTTTGTGTGTGCGTGTATGTGTGTGTGTGCAACGGGTTGCTTAATTCTTTGAGAACATAACTTTTAATCGTTTTAACATTTCCTGACGATCATCTCTTTTCAGATAAATGAATGCAGGACCAAGATAACGTTGACTTAAAGGCAGATGATTGTCATTTAGAGATTGATCGTTTCCTGAAATTTGCACGGTAGTTGTATTGTCAAAATACGACAATAGCTGAGATTTCCGTAACAGCCGACAAACTTAAAATGCCATCTAAACATCCTAAACCCAACAGAACGACCAAATCTGTATGAACGATAGAGGGAATTATAGAAAAAACCCCAGAAAGTCAACGCTATTGCAAAGGTATTCAAGGTTTCAAAGCACTCCATCGAAAAAGTGCCTCCAATACGAGTTATGTCTTCGTAGATCTCCATATCTAAATCGGTTGCACTACTGCGGGGATAGGGGCATCGTCGAGAAGGAAGATAATCAAGTCCCTCTTGATGTTGTAATATTTTTGTAGTTGGCCATAACTAGCAAAATGTCCAAAATAGATAAAGATTTGTTTCTGACCATTTATTCAAGCTGTCATCAATGCTAATGGTGGATTCATTGAGTAGATGCTTCATGAAGAGTCTCGGAATTAGTCATGCCGATTTTTAGTCAATTAATCCTCTTCTGGCATAATTTATGCATCTCTTACTAAATCCATTCAAATGTCTCCAAGAAACTCAGCAACCCTACATATATATATATATGTATATATATATATATATATGTGTGTGTGTGTGTGTGTGTGTGTGTGTGTGTGTGTGTGTGTGTGTGTGTTGGTCCATTTCGAAACAATATTTCTCTGGATTAAACGTTTGGTTTTGCTGAAGGAATTCGTTATACACAACGCCTTTTCGGATGCAGACTGCCTTTTGGAGCGGTTAACGGTGCCTCAATACATTTCCTTGGGGCCCTATTCTCTCCACAGGGTTGTAAACAATTCCTTTTTTTTCTTTTTCATTGCATATTATCATTCTATTTCAAATTGTTGGTTTTCGTTATGCTTTAGCAGAGAATCAGAGATGGAAATGTTTTCCATTAATTTTCTTTCTGTTAAATTGTGATATACTTAGACATCGCAGTAATCCACGTATCCAAGTCTTTCCAAAAGCTTTAAATACTTATATGAGATATGTGACGTGTCTCTTCGATGTTCTGTTGTGTGACCAGGGGTATTTTTAATTAAAATATCGATTTGATGATCATCAACACCAACATTATCAAATCTTCCTGATGAAACTTTCTACTACTAAATCTAGAGAAAAACTTAAGAACAATAATCTAAGCTATGGCACCATCCCTATAAACGGTACATATCTTTTAGCTGTCTGTGCTGTAATATGTTGATTACATGACTTTTTACAGCCACAACAAAATTATTATCATAACTAATACATGATTTCATCCATGCTTTTCGATTGGGACCTTGTTGCTCAATCCCACATTAAGGATTTCTTCTCGATGACATGCAGCACGTTGGGTTTAATATTTAGCTTGGAAAAGGCCACCGTAATGTACCAACTTACTTTAGGCAAAGCCTACTCTGAGTCAAGCATTTATGTGTAAGGTCGAAAATTGCAAGATGTCGAAAAAGTCCATGTATTTAGGCAGTACTGTAAATATGACTGCTGATTATGAAATCTCCCGACTGAATCTAAAAAGCCAGTAATGCTTTTCGGATGGGCGTCTATGGTCCCAAGATGAAATTTCAATTCAGACGAAGTTGAATGTTTACAGTATTTCCTTTTTGTCTTCATGGTTCTATGCATGCGAAACTCTAGGTCACTTACCAGAAACACGTAAAAAGGCTGGAGCGATTTCACCAATCGTGTTTCCGCTGTATATTAGGTATCGGGTGGCAAATATACGCAAGTGACACGGGGATATACTCAGACGTGATCAGTCTACCGGTAAAGAGTATCTGTTACCTTAGCGTAAGGGAAGAGGTCATTTGACCAAATTGAAGGACGATAGGATCTCTAAGCAGTTTCTTTACAGTGAACTGGTTGAAGGCAAAAGACCAGCGCACAAACTGGAATTGAGATATAAGGATCGCATCAAGAACACACTGAAGAAGACCAAGATCATATAAAATGGCTGTTTTATGTTAAAGTAAAGCATTGCATAAAGGTAAGAGAGATTTTGAACAGAATCGTGTTCCGCAAGAAGAAATCAAGTGATAATTGATAACGATCATCATGCTAATTTCTCTGAAAATGTTACTACAAACTTTTATCTTACGTGCAATGAATATGGCCGCGTCTAAGTAGAACAAGAATCGAAAACCATCAAGGATATTACACACAAGTTATTCGTTATACATTCTGGAACAACTACTGCAATGATACACAACCTTGCCACATCTTTCCATGACAATATAAGACCCTAGCAAGAATAAAAGCCACATCAGCGCGGCTCATATCTGAGCTTAAATCAAGTATTTATCTTAAAATTATATACAAGATGACATGTATGATTTAAAAATCATTTCAAAACGTCGTTATTTTATCCAGGTTCGAAACACTAAAAGTGGTTCTTTAAGGCAGTACGCAAAAGCACTCGTAACCATGGAAGTGAATCTGCCGAATAAACAAATATCCTGACCATCAAAATGGCATTAATGCGGACAAAGCGTAGGTTTGTGTTTTATTGGCTGACAGAATTTACTGTTTGTCGTGACACGCTCATCTCTCGATTGACGATCATCTGCAAGATGTCCTCATCGACTGCGAGACGTTCTTCCAAAATCGAACTCTTATAGTGGGGTGATTTTAATTGAAGAATCTTTCATTGATATTCTAAACACACAAAAGATTAAGACAATAAATTTATTCAGTGGTGGCTTGTCTTTTCTCAAAATTAAAAGTGAAAGTTACAAGGATTGGTTACGACAAGAAGGGATTAAAAAATAAATAAAATAAAGATAAAGAAATATAAAAAAAAATAAACTAAACACATAAGACGGAAAAAGAAATTGTCCTACTGTAGAGCAATTTCTACAATTTAGTTTTCCATACTTTTCCTATTGGTAGGGCATTCAATCCTTACTGGATACCACACATAAATGATCTTATATGAGACTTAGCTAAATTTTATCAATGCTGATCTTTTATATATCATGTCCTTTCATAATCTTGGTGATTATGGCTCTCTACAACTTCCTGTCTTTTATTTCCTTAATTCTGTTCCCTTTACGAGGCACTTGTCAGTTTTTGGCATCTATCCACTCAAACCACAGGAATTTTAAAAAATATTTTATATTGTATATTCTTTAATAGTTGACATTGAGCACTGTAACTGATATATATATATATATATATATATATATATATATATATATATATATATATATATACTGTGTTGTGTTTCAATGTTAACCCCTGTTGGATAGATGATGTTCTTCGTCAACAATATTGTCACTTCGTGTCATGTCTCATGGATTCTCGGTAACAATCATAGATTACTCTCGCGAATATTATATCACCTGTGAACTACCTGAGTATTGTCTCAGCCCACACCTCATTGTCCCTGTAAGTTTCTTTATATATTTCTGAAAAGCTTCGTCTCGCCGTTCCTAATGCAATATTTCATTTAGCAAAGGAGTGAGATAATGTCCAACACGTAAGCAGCAAACATTCATTCAAATCGTCATTTATCAAGAATTATTAAGAAACAATCCAAAGGTCATGTTTATTTCTCTTTTTTGAATGTCTATGACAATCACAAGTAATTCTCAGGAACGTTAATATTAGCAGAGAAGGGTTTTGATTAATTTCTTCCTAGAATTTTGCTTAGAAATGATATAATTTAAATACAGATAGATGAGAATTGATGTGATCTCATGTTCATAAAGGTTTGTAACCATAAATGATACAGATTATATATATATATATATATATATATATATATATATATATATATATATGTATATATATATATAATTAGTCTGTAAAGAGTTACAGAACGTGAGAGTGCCTGAACACAAAGATACGTTTTTAAAAAATAAACACGATTTTAGATCATGAAAAATTTCGATTAGACCCAAAACCTGACCAAGAAAAAGAAAAAACATTATTTAAACTTCCTTGGACGCACTGAAAACTCTTCAATACGCCCTAACAGACACACTAACAAACAAACACACACAGAGAAACACACACACACACACACACACACGCACCCACACACACACACACACACATATATATATATATATATATATATATATATATATATATATATATATATATATATATATATATAGTTTTTTATATGCACGGTACTTAGTGAAAAGTGGTCAATATCTGTGATAGAGATAACATCAAACTGATTGTCTGATGATCGCAAAAGCATGAAACCCAGAGTTACAAACTAATATCCATACAAATGAATATATATATATATATATATATATATATATATATATATATATATATAGGGTTGCTCAGTTCTTTTAAGAAATTTTGCATGAACTTAGTAAGCGATAGAATGAACTGAGTATATATATATATATTGTTTGCTCAGTACTTTGAAGATATTTGCATGAATTTAGTATGTGATAGATAAAAAGAGGGATCGATACAGAAAGAGCAGGAAATAAATACATTTTACGTCCATTCTTGTAAAGATTAATAAAATCAGTTTGTTTAACATTGCTTGGTGAGAGAGAGAGAGAGAGAGAGAGAGAGAGAAAGGAAGAGAGAGAGAGAAAGGGAAAGAGAGAAAGAGATGAGGAAGACGAATGAAAGAGAGAGAGAGAGAAATAGAGAGAAACCATCTTAAAAGATTGATAAAACACAATCTGCTCTGTGCCATGTAGCCTCGTATCTTAGAAATTATTGAAAGAATATTTCTGAAATCTTTATGTGAAAGTTTTTACCACAACATTTCAGCTTGATTCATTCTACAGACTTTTCCATGTGTAGAATTCATAATAGTCATCGTTTTTTGGTTGTTACACAACTATAGAAGGCTGTAGACTGAAGCGGGCGAAAATTATTCTAGAACTCTCTACAAGTGAACAATGGATCCATTTGTTTAAACTAAATCTGAGATGTAATTTATACTTTTAAGAATTGTCGACATTCATTGAATCATTTCATCCTAAATTACATCAATTCTAACACAGTGAGCGATTTTAAGAAATTCAATTTAATCTTTTCATTGTTTAAAACTTTTATATTGTTTTTTTATTTAAATATTTTCCTGATTTCTGTTCTTCAGCTTCGACTTCGCATGCTTATAATGTTTAATACACAGTTTCTGAAATGCAGGATTGAAATCAAGACATACGTTGGACATTTGCTTTAGATAGCAAGTACCTTTGGTTGCTAAAAACTGTTTGATTATTTGAGTAGGAATATTAATCACTACCACAGATTGGGTTCGTATATAAAGTTCAAGACATAAACAATATTTCTAATTTCCAGTTATCCTTCTGCATAAGTAAAAACACTTATTTATTTTTTAACAAGCAACTACTGTCTTTTTCTTGATGACTGAAATGACATGGCCTCCTCAGTTGGAACTATAATAATAATCAGCTCCATATAAGGTTATTTTGGGTGAATTCCGAAACCGCTTGAAAGAAGTACAAACCAACAAGGAAAATCCCATTTGAAACTAAGAAGCCCAAGTCCTAGAACCCGTATCCTCTTCATTTCATTCGATATCATGGCTTTTAAACTGTTAATCGGGAACGATGACCACTGAGGTTGGAAAATAATCATTCAATATCAGTTGCAACACAAAACCTGCCCAAAATTTTTATCGACTTATTATTTCTCAATTAAGTTTTGTTTTGATAAAGGAGAAGACAATATGGCACCTATTTATAAATACAATATTTGCCCAGAGAAATTGATTGTTGGAATATATTGCATATTTGAGTAATGCGAAGAAAAAAAGAAAGACGAAAAAGAAAGAAAGATAGAAGGAAAAGAAAGAAAGGAAGAAAGAAAAAGGAAAGGAAAGAAAGAAAAACGAATTAAATGAAAACTTTAAAAATGAACAAATACATATAAAAAAAAATGTGAACAAAATTTATATATAAAAAAGAAATATTTATCCCGTACTTATTTGCCTGTCGTATATTTTTTTATTTAAAAAGCTTAGCTTAGTCCAAAGTTAAAGTAATAGAGCCCCCATTAAATATCAAACTTACAACACAAACTAACTGGTATCAGATTATTGCTGTAGAACTAATCTTTTTACCCTCTCTCTCTATATATATAAAAATCTATAATAGCAATTCTCTTTTCTTTCTTCTTCAAATGTACAAATTTCAAAACAAATCGATTGCTTGATTTTTGTTTAGCTTCACAAAAGGTGGCCCCGTATATCATTTATCAGAGGCACGATCTGACATGACATATTGAGAGCTGTAAGCATTTAGTTAGTCATCCTTCATTATCTGTCAATAGCATTCTACTGGCCGGGACAATATGGGGTCAGTTGTTTGATATGAAAAGCGTCTGTGGAACAGTTTCTGTGGATAGAGTAGTAGACTGTTAAAAGGTCATATATTTAAAAAAAACAAGAATCATGAATTTAATCTGGAAAATAAAACAGCATCCCTAAAGAGAAAACAGAAGAACGTTGAGTAAATGTATGCGTCATGGTGTAGATAATTGCCTTGCTGAGTGTACTCAAGGATTCTGGCACAGGGCTTAAGTATTGGTGCTCCTCTTGAGGCTAGAAATCACTAGCAATTATTTGTGATAATGGCTGATTGGAGATAGATAGTTTCGTCTGACACATGGACACATTAGCAAGAATTATATTCACCTGCTAATTCATCACACACATATAGATACATATATATAGATATATGTGTGTGTGTGTGTGTGTGTGTGTGTATGCGTTTTGGATTTTTTTTAGATTATAATTGAATTTATATTTAAATTGACTCTATCGCATTATTTGTCTCTTACTTCGACCCAGTTATACACACATACACATAGAAACACATAAATACAAACACGTACGCACGCACATAACCACTTTTCCCTAAATCTTATATCTATAAAATAGTAGATATTTGCCTGTGTGTCTATGTGTCTGTATGCTATTCATGCACGTCCACATTTCTCGGCCGATTTCAAGGAAATAGTACAAACATGTTTCAAATTTAGTTACATAGTTGAAGTCCAATTTTTCAATCTCAAGGCCCCTCTGGATTTGACAGAAAAATCAATAAAACTGAAGGTGGGTAAAACTTTTTGCAATACCAAGGCAAAATTACACGCTAACAATTTTTTACTGGATGAACTGATGTTCTTTGCACTTAATGCAAAATATAGCTTATGTTACGGGCTTTATGTCAAGTGTTGATAGTTTTCCTGTGACATTGGTTTCACACAAAAAAATGACAAAAAAATGAAAATTTTGGATAAATTCCTCATTTTTTATCTGATTTTCTTCAAACATGTCGCAAAAAAAATTGCCGTCATGCAAGAAATAAGAGAGTGTGGTTTTAGTCTTGCTAGCTTCCCCAAGTATAACGAAAAACACGAAAACCTGTTCAAAAAACTGTTTTTTCAGCCATAACGCTTTTTGTGTTTCATCCGATGCTTTTCCGATTTGCCATGTAAATTACATATGACACACAAATTGTCTTGCGTGAATTTTTTGTTTAGATTATTTCAGTTAAGTGGACTAGATCCAGTATTGGCTTTTGCCATTTAAACAATAGTTTCTTCATATTGGGATTCGAACAACCTGTAATGCAAAGATTGTTTGAGGATTTTTAAAAGGAAAAATCTTTTATTAAACCCAACTCTACAGTAAACGCGTGAAGAAGGAGGAGGGCAGTTGTATCAAATTGTGATGATTCATCCCTGTTTTTGTTTGATTATTAAATTTGTGAACAATTCCAGACTATTTGGAAGTTATTACAGCCATGGGAAATTTACTAACTATCTAAAACATTGAAACAATTTAAACCGGAGCAACGACAGCGTTATAATGTTTTATTGATGGAATTCCTTTATTAAGAACAATGAAACAATTGTGAAGAACATACCGTAAAAACGATGAGTGTTGGGGGAGTAGTTTAGTATAACAATGGATGATGCATGCAAGCAGACATTACTAGACAGGGGGTGCAGGTATACGGGGTGCGGTTATACAATTGCAGCCAGGTACACTCGGGTAACGTCTCTGTACCTCGGTTAGTATGTGATGAAATAGTTTCGGAGTGTCAAAAGGACTGTATTTCCAAGAATAAAAGAAATGTATAAATTCACTTTCATGTGTTTAGGTTTTAGTACAATGCTAATCATCGCTTTTTAAAACAATAAACATTACCGAGGAGAGAGGGTAGTTAAAATAATAGCGGTGTCAAGGAAAAAAACTGTCCTTTGGATACTTCGTTTTATTTATTTATTTTTTTTTGTGGACACGAAGGTCCAAGTTTGCCGAATTTTCTTTACAAGTATTGATATAATATGTGCTTAAGATAAAATGGACTTGTTCCGGAGGACGATAAGCTTTCTAAATATTTGTACTCCTGACAAATGGTGAACAGGATGTAGTGGAAGTTTGAATAAAACACACGTTCATAATCCCAAACTTTTAAAGTTTTAGGATTTCTAATTAAAAAAAATAAATTGATGAAAAGGATAATTTGAGTTTAATTCAAAAAGAAACAAACACGATTTATTTACTTTAAAATTTTCTATTTTTATTACAAACAAAATTTTTTCACTCAATTCACACACCTTCATCAACTCGTGGTTTTTACAGGAGATTAAATAACAACAAATTTCCTTCATTTTTCATTGAATCTTTTCTTAGTGTAGCAATGATTTTGATTTTCCGGTTAATAAAAAGACTAATTCCATATATTTTCCAGTTCTTCCTCAATTTTTGTTATTTTTATTCCCAATTTTTGCCACAGTTTCTTTATTAATATTGATGTATATGTACGAAAGTGTCTAACCATTGCCACTTCCGGTTCACGGAGGCCTGATCTTGATATTATCAACTGCATTGTCTTATCCGTTTGAATTTTAAAGTACCAAAGATTTGTGTGTTTTTATTATCCAAAACAGATTCTGGTTAAGGAATTTCTATTGGTGTGCATAGCCAAATTCTAGATGTTTGTTAATTTTTCAGTGCATTGCCTTTCAGATACAGTGAGATCAATTTCTGGATATTTTCCTGGAGTAATTCACTGGACTCACTTCCGCCACATTCCTATATTTTTATTATTTTGAAAATGACCAACTAAAGATAAAAATAGCAAGATAGTTTATATAAAAGAAGAGATTGAGAGAGAGAAGGATAGAGGGAGGAGAGATAAAGAAATCAAGTTTGAACAGACTAGGATCGATCTTTCACCCGGCAGATGTTGATGCTGTGGCCTATGACTTGTCCACTCTTTTGAAATTGACGACCTCTTTTTCACTTCTTTAGTAAACAACCGTGATCACCCACCGATATTAGCGGATTTATTTAATCACTTTTCTCACGGGCTTCTTATGGGCAAAGATTAACACTCTTCTCTCTTTGCGATCGATTGTATAATCTGATGGCCACAGTGTCGAGAAAAACAAAAATAAAAACATCGCTTTGGAAAAAAAGAGAATTTTCCAAGATTAACAAATATGATTCAACTTTTGGGTAACAGATTCTTTTCAGTGCAACCATTTCTATTTTTGAAATCTTTTGATTGTTGGTATAACTGAGACATTGACTGTCGGAAGTGTTACCTCGCAAATAATATTTCTTTTCTGGCCGACTGGAGTGACCAAGTTCAACAATAAAAGGATAGAAATCAAAATTCTTCACTTGAAAATAATTGATCATTTGAGGAATGGTCTTAATCGTCAAAGAAAGAAAGAAATAAAGAAAAAAAAGAAAGAAAGAAAAAAAGAGAGAAAAACATATTAAGCAAGTGTGAAATATTACCGAGAGCCTTTTTCTTGTCTAAGATAAAAATAATTTTGATTTTCTAGTTGATAAAAGACTTTACAAACCACAACAATTGACTTCGCTCTAAAAACATGTTTTATCTTGTTAAATATGCCATATTCACAAAAAGATTTATTGGCATTTGTTTAAGAAAGAAAGGAGGAGAAAGAAAGAAGAAAGGTACAAGAAATAAAAAGAAAGAAAAAACGGAAAATGTTTACTAATTAACAATATGAAAGACAACATAAGACTTTTTCTCATGTCAAATGATAACGTGTCATTCTAAACTTGTAAACTGTGGCTTCCAGTTTTCTACTTTTTCTTCTAAATATGAATATGTTCCCTGCTTATTGAAAAATTCTTAAGATATCTGAATAAATTTGTTAACCCAACAACAATGTTCACAATTACATATTCACCGTAAAATATCTCAAAATGTTTAATGTAGTTAATATTATTTTTGATATTTTTTTCAACTTCTAAAATAAAAGCACTGTCTGCATTACTTTCATTTCGTGATTTTGTATATTTTCTGAAATTCCTATTGAATTTATTTTTTTTTTAGGAATGGTATGATACTAGATTAATGTGGAGCCCTGGTGATTATGGTGAAGTCAAAATGATTCATATTCCATCAGATGATCTTTGGCGACCAGACATCGTTCTCTACAATAAGTAAGTAATTAAAAAA